GAAAATTCACAAAAATTGATGTGGATCCCAATTTTTTTTTCTTTCTCTCTCTTATGTCAATTTTTGGTTGCGAGGAACGGGAGGGAGGTTAAAAGAGCCGACATGCTTTCCCCCTGCCGCAGCGTTTGTTTGAGGAAACCTGTCCAACTGGCAGGAGCCCATTCACAAACGTGGGACGTTTTCTCTTTGTTGTGGCCGGCGCAATGATTTCGAGCAACCGGAGCTCACTGGGGATCTTCCTGGGCTGTGGCCGTGAAAGAAAAGGATTCAAGATGAGAGCGAAGAGCAAAGAAAAACACTGAAGCACAGTAAAGTACCAGGAGAACATACAGAACGTCCTCTCAGCCGATCTGAGCCTTCTTCATGTCCGATAAACACCCTGCCGTCTGAGACTCTACGTTTGCTTTTACAGAAGATAAAAAGAAAAAAAAAAAAACAACACAAAAGCATCAAAGAACCAGGACCCTCATGTACTCTAGCCCATGTGTTTTATGTGCTCTTTTATAGTTTTGACCCCACAGCTGTTGGAAAGATGGGACGCAATCGCTCTCCCCGGGTTTTTTTTTTTTTTTTTAAGCGCTGTCTTTTTGCTCAAGAAACTAAATGTTTAATGCGTAAAACTGCAATGATTTAAAGCAGTTTAGGAAACAAGAATTGGATAATGCCCCCGAGCAGTTTGTAGTACTCAATGCTCACAGCAAACACATTAAAACCAGATGCAATCTGTTTTCTTTTGCTAAAATGGCACAAAACTCCCCAGAATCACTTATCCTCTTTACGGATTTACTTTACAGTTTTCTATGTTTGTTTGTTTTTGATCACCAATTTTTATTTATTTATTTATCTATTTATTTATTATTAAAGCAGATGTCAAACGAGTAGATAGAAAAAGCATTCTTCAAACGATGACTTGATTGAAAGCAATCCAAACCAATCGAGTCTCTCATGAAAAAGTGATTGTCTCATAAATCTAATAACTGGATGTGCCATTTGTTACGATAAGTGGCAATGAGAACGATCGCATTAGATAAGTAATCACTGTGTTTTTCTCCTAATGTGGCCACTCTGTGCTCAATTTCTCGTTTTTTTTCCTTATTATTGTTGCACTTCATCTGTTACATTTTAAATTGCACGACTTGAATAAACAAAGGAGAAACGTCACCTTAAAAAAAAACGCACCTTTCGATCTTTCAAATGATTTCCCTTGAGACTGACACACAGCTATGCATTGTTTATTATTAAAGCCCTACTTATTACTACATTTATCTGGATTTGTCTGCTCTGCTGTGACATTATTATCGCTACCTGGACCTCGTACGTCTCTGTTGGACATCCCTGAAACCTCCCGCCCCGCAGCCGGAATGTGGCTCTGATTATTCGACCTCTATCTCAAATGCGAGTAACCGTTGGGAGGAGCAGCATAATGCGAAACAGATTTACTTCAAATCGAACTGGAAAGGACCAAAAGTTTAATGAAGACATTTTGTTTGTCATGATCTAGAAAATCACCTTAAACTCTCACGCTGCAGGCTGCGAAGGCTGCTGTTTAAAACCCCCAACCCCGACTGCAGACGGCAGTCTCTGGAGACGGGAGGCTGTATTAGCCACATGTTGAAGGTCTCCCTTGCTCTCTTTATTTTTTTTTCCCCCGAAGTAATATCTGCGTAGCCTGAGGCGTCACAATTGTTTTACACACAGGATGTATAGAGCTTTCATGCCACCGGTAATGGGATAGTCCAGCTTCATTAAACTTGTGCATTGTCAAAATATTTGCGACTCTTTTGTTAGTGGGCGGATGCTCTAAAGTCTCCTCGGTGGGATTTGATATTTTTAAGTGCAAATATTTCTGGGGAGTTTCCCAACTAAGCCTGATGCAGTTCGGAGGGAGGTTCAACTGTAAAATCACTAACATAGCAGTAGAGTAACTATTTAAAAAAAATAGAAGACAAAACATACATTGTATCAAACTGCGCCTAGGGAAAATAAGGCAAATGGATGATTTGGTCCTTATTTTAGCTAATTATGACAGAAACATAATGCTAACGAGTCTTTCTCAAAATTTAAAATCAAGAAGAGACGATATGTGACATTGAGACCCGGATCTGGGCTAGACTTTACGATATTTTAGAGAAATTAAAGGCCAGCACATACAGTGCTTAAGGAGCATCAGTCAATTCATAAGCATAAAAAAAAGACTCTTAATTTGAAGGGTTCAATAACAGTGGTTTCTGACATTGTTTTTTTTATGTACGAAGCAGATGCTAACGTCTGCGTTGCATGCTAACGCCCAGTGTGTAAGTTTGTCACACATGAAAAATTTGAGCTGCTTCTGTAACCAAGTATTATCAAGTTTAAGATTACTTTATGGATCAGGGAAATTATTTTATCTAAGCAACACACACACACACACACACACACACAAAAGCAACAATAAAAACGGCACAAATATAAATAGAGTGAAAAACGTAAGTAAAAGTAAGTACCAGACAGACATGCCACAGACAGCACAATACAATCATCCAAGTTTCAGAAGGTACCAGTACGAGACAAAAATAGCTACTTGGATAGTTCTAGTAAACGTTCATAAGTTCTGTGAAAGACTCTGGTAAATTCTGCCAAAGTTCAAGAAAGTACCAGCTAGAAAATGCTTCTGCTACCGAAGGACAGATCCTTTCTAAAGTTCCACCAGAATGCTGCCTTCTGTTTGTTCAAGACTAAGAATTTGCATCGGAAAATGATGTCACACTCAGAACTTAACAACGTACTAGATGCTAGTTCGAAAACCAGCAAAATGTGTTCGGTGTGTTCAATATTTCATTGAAACTCACCAAAATATTATAAACTAAAAATGACATCTTCACTATGTGGAACAAAACATACTGAAATAGAAACAAGGTAAAAGGTTCAGTCTGATGCAGATACTTCTAACACTTACAGTACATGCTGGGTGTCCATGTTGGATGCGGGTGTTGTGACTGACCAATAAGTTTCCTCCCTTCCACTCCCTAAAGGACCTGACTTATGACTTTAAGTGGAACGTCCCCAAATAGGTACTCAATCCCAAAAGAAACACCAACTAAATAATACATTAAAAAAGAAATTATTTTCCCAAGTTGGAAAAATAATTACAAATTCTGTCTTGACACAAACCAGAAGATTCATTTTTTGTATGCATCTGTTTGTAAATACGCATCTGTGTTTGCAAAATCATCCCTTAGACACACAAACGCTCCCGAGAACCATTTTCAGTAAACACACTTGGATGTGCAGCCTCAAGTGCAACTCCGCGATAAAAGAAAGGCAGAAGAAACCGTTTGCGTCATCTGAGCTGTACTTCATTTAATACAGGCCAAACTCAGAGCTGTTTCTCTGTTTTAAAGCGTACATTTCCGACAAGAAACTAACAACAGCTGCCTGTTTGGGCTGCAGGGTAGAAGGACCATCTGGCTTTTCTTCAGTGCGCCGTCCAAAAACAAGCATCATCTGAACCTTTCAGCTTATTCCAGAGTCCCACCTAAAAGCAATCGATACTTTATAAAGTTTGTTTCATGCACCAAATGCCTGACTAGGTGCAGGATTTAGAGGTTGGACGAGTCGACGTCGGTTCTGTCCTCGGCGATGACTGATTGTGTTTTACGTAACTACTTGCAATGACATGACAAAACAGATTTTTCCAAGAAGATGACAGATGAAGAACTGGGTGGGGCATGCCAGAGAGTCTGAATTGCATAAGCCATGTGCAATCAATTTACCAAATGGCTACTGGCTAATGTGCCGCATGTTGCATGTCACAGCCTCTTTTACATCCAGCCCACTGATCGGCGTCGCCCTGCATGTTGAAGCTTCTGACCTGGCAGCTTTTCGCTCTCGTAAAAACTCTGCCTGACATCGTCTGGAAAAGTAGTCCAAGCTGCATTCTGAAAATCTGACAGAGTCTACCCCTGTCATCGCTGGCTTGTCGATTCATCAGGCAAAGCCAGAGAGACGCTGCCAGGAGACAGTTGGAGCAGCCTGTTGCACATCGAGGGCGAGCCGGCCTGGAGCAGCAGGTTGGTGCGATGAATTTAACCGTACTCTGAATTAAATTTCAGCAGTATACAATAAATTTAATTTAGAATGTTTCTAATTGCACAATGCAGTAATTTGTCTCCTAGGTGAGGCTGTCCAATATACGATGATATACCGGATTATCATTCAGTACCAGATCACTCCTCCCCTGCACCTCCTCCACACAGCTCCTGCAGACTAGCGGCAGCAGCAATTAGCAAACAACGGATGGGACTTTACATCTGTTGAGCTCTCCGTCAGACTCTCCTAAGAACAGTTGCAAACAACATCATGGAGAAACACTGTTGTGAAGGCAGAACGGAGCTTCTTAAAGAGACAGAGGCCAAATTCAAGGCGTCAAATTGTGCAAGTCAGATTTATTTTTTCTATGTTTGAGATATAGCGCACTTTTATGACAACCGAAGGTAACGTGGTTACTTGATCGTAGTATTTGGTACATATACACTATACCGCCCCTTTAAAAAAAAAAAAAAAAAAAAAACTGGTCCGACCTGTCCCCCTGAGTGGTAGTTGTGCAAATGAGCCCAGATTGAAAACATCTGTATTGTTTGGTAACTCTCAGCCCCGCCGTGTTATCTAACGGACCAACGTGCCAACAAACATCGATCCTTTTTAAAGATACTTAACGTGAGCTGGAGCGTTACATAAAAGTGGTCTCTGATCAGTTCGCTCGGATATGTGCCAGTAACAAGTAAACTCACTCTCTGCCTGTCAAGCCAAAGACCCGTGGAGCTGTCTGCTACAGGACGAGCGTTTGTTCCCGTAGTGTTTGCGCTTTGAAAAAGATTTTGTCCAGACACGGCGAGCCAGGAAAGCTTATTTTATCAAGCTGATGTTTTACATCATTGAAAAGCCACATGTTTATATCGTTTATATAACAGCTCGGTAGACGCTGCACAACGCTCTGTCCCACATGGGTGTAATTTTCTTACCTCATTCGCAACACGTGGTGGAGTCCCGTCAGTGAGTTGAGGAGTAATGAAAATCACAATAACCCAAAGCATATATCCCCATTGACTTATTAAGGCGTACGTTCAAGGATGTTTGTGTTGCACAAACGCTGCGTTATTAAATCAGTTTGAGACGAAGCAAAAGTTTAAAGGGTCCTCGGGGCGCACGTCTGGGAGACCCAGGTTTCACAATTAGCTTTTAAGGACGTCAAAAAGGCTGCTTAGGTCTGCAGTCTTTTCATCCCGAGATGAGATCCCGGTGAATCCCCTTCCAGCAGAGTGGACTCTGTGGGCTGGGGGCCCTGCTGGAAATTAAATTACCCCCCCCCCCCCTCCCCCCAAGAAAAATGGCAGTCATGTAAAAAGCAAAGTAAGAATAACGGCACTCGTTAAGATTGTTAAAGATAGTGTTAATTAAGAGGCACATGCTCTCGTCAGGTTTTTGTCAAACACCAGCTTGTATTACATTGACTCCAACACGCCGAGGGAGTAGTTTGCCCGCATGGTGCGGAAAGGAAAATATAGTTTTCACGGATGTTACTCTAACTTCATGCCTGTCGCACAGGGGCGGCTGTTTGACCTCAGCAAACCTCAGAGACCCTGAAACACATGCACTGTGTAATGAATGTGCAGTCATGCTTCATCGTGTTCGCGCTGTTTCTGTAATTGAATTGTCGAAACCGATTTGAGAGTTTTTATCTGAAATTAACAGCTGCTGGGGAACTGGAAGAAACGCTTTTGTTGTGGGTCCAGCGTTATTAGAGGTCAAGTAGCCAACGCGGATCCGTTGCCTTGAAATTTGGCTCAGACCTCCAGAGTGCCCAGATGGTGTTTGAGCTTAGACTGAAAGTTTTATATGAAACTTGTGTAATCAAAGTTTTCTGGGATTAACTTTGAAATGTTCCTAAAAAAATATATATATTTTTGGCAATACTGAACTCGCCTCGACGGACTCTGTTATCTAATCAGGGGGTTGCCAAAAGCCATTCGTTGCACTGCATATTTGCAGATCAAAAAGGATGTGAGAGTTTGTGTCATTTACGCTTCACTACAATTTTATCCAGAGACAATTATGAACAAAATCTCTACTTCAAAATCCAATGATACTTTGTGTCACATAAAATAAAATAAGGGATATATAAGAAAGTTTGTAGCAACATGTGAGCCGGTCCAAGGATCCATTTGGAGTGTAAGAGTCAGTTTTGTCCTGTTTGTCTCCCAGCCTCCCAAGATTTGTCAAGGGTGTACCCTCTTCTCCAACCACGTCACCACAATTGATATTAGTCTGATAGATATAAAACTTTTGCAGTCCACAGATGGAAGTGGCCCCTGTAAGCATGTCACGCCACACATCGCCCTATAAATTGTTTGACATTAGTTTCCATTTTCAGCCACTTTTTGTAACAGTTTTGATACATAGTTTATGGCTGCTGTTTATGTTCTGCTGTTTTGGGTGGTGATAAACATCCCGACTTGTGTACCGCAGCACACATATGGCCCCAATCAACACGAGAAGACCAGCAGCGTGGCGTCTTTGTGCAGGTTGAGGTCTATTTTGCGTCTGCTCGACTCAACAAAACTAATGTTGCTTTACTGCAGCGCTACGTAATCCTACTGCAACAATAATGAAACGAGCAAAGTCAAAGTGTGTGGTTACATTCATGTAAGTAAAAGAGAAAGACTACGTCACAATGAAGCTAACTTTGCAACTCTTCTGCTACTGCTTCTAATAATTACTTAGATTTTCTATGAAGCAACAGTGACTGAAGCAGGGGTATAAATGATCATTTCACTTTGACGAAATCCCGATTTATCAATTTAGTTTTTTCCCCTGCTAATTAAGGTCACAAGGCAGGGTTAATGTATACCTCTGAGTTTGCAACAGAGGACATCACTGACCCAAATTTACATGTGAATGTAAGTGGGAGACGGCGTGCACCTATACTTAAATCAACTTCCAATCTTCTCATAAGATTGGAGGATTGATATGAGCAAGTATGGTGAATGCTTCCACGAAATCTTTATAATACGAAGGCTGCAAGTTGAGTCATCGTCATGACATCGTCATCGTCATGACATCGTCATCGTCATGACATCGTCATCGTCATGCATCGTCATGCATTTAGTGCAAAGTCATTTTTCTCCATCCTTATTGATCTTATCTGCATCAGATTTTGCACATTTCTCAGATCAGACAGATTCTGCTTTGTTTGCACCATGGTCTCCTGCTGCTGCTGCTGCTATTTTGCTTTGTTTATTATCACTGTAACACACATATCCCGCAATTTTGCATTACCCTTGCAGCTATAATTTGTCATGGGGTTTGCGACTACCTCCCAAGGTGGATCAGGGGAGTAATACTGGTGGGTCGACTTTAACTGCAAGGCATGAAGGACATGTGTAGATCACAAAATTTTACAATAATCTGAAATGCAATATAGGACCTAAGTCAACACTGAACTCCTCTTTCTACCAAAGCGGATGCCTCTAACAGTCACGATCTTTTGTCTACCATTTGCTCGATTCACTGAGGTATAACTTAGCTAACCCCAGTTACTTATGTTATATTATTACAAAAAATGTTGCACTGACAAGTGATACCTAGCCATAGTTCTTAGCCTGCCCTGACATTGTTAGAGAGTAAATGCATTAATCTAAATAAAACCCAGGATAAAGGTAAAGGCAAATATTTGACATTCTTACAGCTTTTTTTATTATTATTATTAAAAACAGTCCAGTTATTTGGTTTCCAGTTCCTTCAGACATGAGTCCAACAGATTGTCAGGAAGAGTCAAGTTGTTTTTAAAGCAAATGAAGTGAAGAAGAACTAGATTCATGAGTTGATTCTATTCATCTATTTAGCAATGAGTGATTCAAGCTGTACATAACTTTAAAACAAAAACAAAAAAAAAACACCTGAAAATGTTTTTAATTGTGTCATAGTCTTCTGCTTGTGTTCAGAAGTCAGGAAGAATCACAAACCGAATGAGTGATCCCCTCAACTTCTGGCCAGGAACCATTAGCGCTCTCATTTACCGTCATTATGGAAGAGTCATTATGGGATGCTGTAACCACATCAAGGCAGTATATCTGTTTGAACAGATTTCAGTTTTTATGTCCAGATAAATGCAATTTGATAGTATTTAAGCCTTCGTGTCTGAGGCCAATTTGCAGTTTATCTCTGTATTTAGCCTCTTGTTTTTTTTTTCTTTCTTTCTTTTATTCTATTACAGTAATTGCAGGAAAGTAAGTCAACACTGTCTGTAAGTCACTGCAAGGGGAAGGAAATGCCAAATAAGTGTCTCCAGCAGAAAGAGTCTGTGCTTCTCAGGCGTCCTACGGATACGGTGGCCAAAATGTCTTAAACGATGGCATGCAGGAAACAGATCCCTCACGTTTTTGGATCCATATGTTTCTCTTTTGCGCTTTCTAACATCTCTGATGTAAATAAAAAAAAAAAAAAGGCTAGAAGTACTGTATCTGGCGAAACCTCTAATGTACCCAGATGTTTTCTTCCCACATTTGTTGATCAGCACTTCCAAGAGATGAGAACATGGATATCTGAGCATTCTCTATTTAATGCGTCATTTCCACCGAAGTGTACAAAATGGGTCGGTCCAGTTCTGTACACTGTTCTGTCAGATTCCGTTGTAAAAGAGCCTCACACACAACCAACCTCTACCCATACTTGTAACTCTGTAGGACAATGATACGGTAGGGTTGTATCAGACAACAGAGTCCATTGATCGCTGTTCTGGTAAAGTATGACTAAAAAAAATAAATAAAATAAAAACAAAAGAGCTGCCTTTGACGTGAGAAAAATTGTATATGCATTTTTCACTGACAGACTGAGCAGCAAAAGCCAGAAATGTTCCAGCCTGGCCTTCTGTGAGAAGTTTTCTTAACCCATAAACGCCACAATTTACTCCAGCCCTCAACAATGTCTGGCTGGCTGCCTTGTGGCCATTCTTACCATTGCTGTATTTATTTCCTGTGAGATGCTTGTCGTAATAATTCTGTC